ACTACTAACTACGCTACATCCTCCACGCTCTACACAGCAGCACACAGTATCTTCTGCACCTACAACATGCTCCTGGCTTCTGCCACCAAACAACACAACAAATGAAAAGGGTCTGTTCTACATGACTATCCTCCAACTCAAACAATCGCCATAAATGGTAGTTCACCTGCACCCCCTTGTAACAGCTTAACCTAGATGAGCTTGTTGACTGTGTACTTGGCCTCCCAGATGTGTGGGGAGAGTCCCAAGACCATCACCTGAATATATAGGCATCCAGGTGCTCTCTGCTGTTGTCGGCAACTCTGCTTTAACTGCCTCTTTGGGGAAGGGCTACAGTACATAGGCCAGGGAAGATAAGGCAGGGGCTCCCTCTGTGTGGCTATGGGAAATCTCTCATCCCTGCTGTGTAAAAACTCCCCAGGTGCTGCTTTCTGCAGAAGCACCCACACCTTTGTGAATAGCCCCTCACCTACGCTTTGTAAGGAAGCCCAATAAAATCATTAGTTCCCCAGAGTGAGTGTTGGTAGAATCATGATTCTGTTTGTTGTTGAGACCATAAAAGGAGGGTAGATTTGTATATGGTTGGGGTCACCACAACTCGAGGAGCTGTTATCACAGCATTAGGAAGGGTAAAAACCACTGGTAGAGGAACCCAGAGCTCTGGAGCTTATACTTAGTGACTGCTCTGCTGTCATTAAATGATTTCATCTTGAACTTGTGTTTTATGAGGGACATCTGATGGAATAAGGAGCCTTGTGCATGCACATAAGAAACAGAGAATGCGGTCCACAATTTTCACTGATCCTTTAAATGCAAAATATTGGTGTCCCATGAACACAGAATTCTGAGACTCACAATGTGTGGACTTGAGCAACATCCAGCTATGTATGAGGTAAGCATGTTCCACTGAGAACTGAGGAAGTAGGACACAGTCAACCCAAGAGGCAGGCTTTGAGCCTCATTAACAGCAACTAAAGATGCCTTTATGCATTTTCTCATTGGGGCTACTTCCCAAAATCCACTGATGGCCTGAAAATGAAGACACGGAAGAAAAGGGCCATCCAGGTCACTCTCACACAGCAGTATGGCAAAGGTCCAGTGTGGGCATGCAAAATGAGCACATATCAATAAGTGAAATAGAAAGTATTTTGTTCTACATTCCCACTGTTCCTCTATGACAAAACACATACACATATATGAGCTGCCAAAGATGGACTGTGCAGTATTGCATATGAGTTAAAACCTCTTTGAAATGCATTGCAAACTGACATGGAAAAATAGACGATTGTAAAGTCTGTGACAATAATTTAGAACCTTTGTTTTTCTTTACTTAAAATACTAAATAAACACATAAGAATGGCATGACAATTCCAAAGATAGAATGCAAAAGCAAAGACATAGCTTTTGTTTTGCTCCACCTTGACAAATTTTCCTGACTTGATTTTGTAGTGGGACTAGCAAATAATACACACAGCTCTGCCTTCTCATCGGCCTGACTTCCAGCAATGGTTCCATTCAGCTGCCTTCTGAAGCCAGTCTTACTGGACCCCTCCTCTTCTGGGCTCTTCTGGCTTCTTTGCCTTTATTTCACCTGGCAGTTTATAGTCAGTCTTCCCTTTTAGTCTTCCTTTTTTTTTTTTTTTTAATTTCTAGATCTGTGAAGTCAGTCAACCACTGGCTGCAGGTATTCAGAAAACCTGCCTGTGCACTGAGCATACACAGACCTTCTTTCCTTGATGTTAATCCTTTAATACAGTATAATACCTATTTGCATAGCATTTAATCTAGAGGTGAGTTACAGGTCAAAGAGGGTAAGTGTTGGTTACATGCAAACACTACACCATTTAACATATGTTTGGCTATTTACAGATCCAGACAGCTGTGGATGAATTCTGGAATGGCACCCCTGGTATGCTAAAAGATGACTCTCTGTCTTTCTCACAGGACTGCCATGCATCTGTTTTGAAACTGCCATCTTCCCTAAATGGCCTGTCATGAAGTTCTGGGGTAAACTTTACAATTTTAGCCACTTGTGATAGGCCAGGATGCCTGGTGCCTTCATATAGTGAACTTAAAGATTTAGACTGCAAGGCTAGGTCATGAGGAGCAGGCTCCTGAGATGGCTGTTGGGGTAATGAAATGATTTAATGTTCCTCCCCCTCAGTAAATCTGTCCACAACTTCATGAACCTTCAAGAACTCCCTCTGAGTGAATTCTTTGAGACGGCCTCCACTCCACACCTCTAATTCCCCATGGTAATTCCTTGCCATAATCACCAACTTTTATCTCTGCTCCATTCTAACTTCAGCTTTATTTCTCCAACTGGATTCTGATTCACAGGTTAGGCAAATAAGACATTCACATCAAGATAAAAATTGAAGCAGTGTTCACAAACGCAAGAATTAAGAGAAAATATTTTTAAAACCGACATGAACACAATAGCCATTCACAACGAACCACGTTTCACCATGTTAAATAAAGATGCATTCAAACTATGCCCAGAGCACTGTGACGCAAGCCCACTCCTGTTGGGCTCCGTGTTTCATACCCCTTCTTGCGGAGTAGTTCTACAGGAAGCAAACAGACGGATAGCTTCTTTGGCTGGAGTCATCGACATGAAATTCATAGATTGGTCAGGAGGTTGGCTCAGATGAACTGTGATCATGGGTTCTCAAAACAGAAGCAAGTCAACCAAGATGGGACCTCGGACCCAGGTTTATATTCTCCCTTCCATGACATGTTCCCTTCTGTAACAGACTCTGATGCCCGGCTGTTTCAATACCTGCTCAAATGGAATCCTACCAGATCTCTTGGAGTGTCCCTGTTATATAACATTGTTGCAGCCTGTCTATAGAGTAGTTGTGTCACGTGACTCGTTTACTACTTCATTGACTCTTATTTCAGAAATTTCCAGGCAAAATGAAATCACAAAGGCAAAGCCATCCAAACAAAGAAAAGGAACCTCTTTTTGTTTTTGCTGTTGTTATGGTTCATTTTCAGTATGTGTCTTTCTTAAGAAAGATTTAAGAAAAAATAGCTCCGAGTTATACGTGGAAGTAGTAAACGTCCTGGGGACTCCAGACTCCTCATGGCGTCTTGAATTCGCCTCCATTACCCTCATTACAGAGTTGTTCCCATGACTTGGCCCCCTAGAAGACCTGAGCCCAACTGTTTTCTGCCTGGTTTACCTGCGCCTGGCTTTTCCTCGCGGCCACCAGGGGGCTGTCTGGGTGGAACTGGGGCAGAGAAGCTACAGCTTTCCTTCAAACCAACCAAAACATCTCAGGGCAGCTTTGGAGCACAGCCCAGGAACTCGCCTGCAAAAACAACCTTCACTCTGGAGCCGGCAAGTTCTTCCTGAGGCTTCAGACGGGGCGAGGAATAAAACACAGATTTCTTGCGAAGAACTGGAAGGGCCACCGAGTCTATGCAGGCCACTGGGAAAGCAGCTTCCTCTCCTCAGTCCTGCTGAATGCCTTCTCCGCTAAGGCAGGGAAAGCTTGGGATTTGCCACCGTCATTAGTGTTGTGGCCAAGGGTGTCAGCCTCTCTCCCTTCTCCTTTCCTGCCCAAGAGACGCTGTTGGGGGGTGGCGGGGCACCCTTATCACCCGTGGGAAATCTAGAAAACTCTTTAAAATAATCTAGACATTATTCCCTCCGTTGAGATATCTGGGCTCAGTATACTGCACTGTGATACATGAGTATACCGATGAAGGACCTTTAAGGTATTTTAACACCCTTCGTAAGAACATTAATTGTATTCTGTCCTCAAAGTAGTTTTGTCGCAACTGTAACTTCCCACTGGCTGCGTGTCCTCTGAGTAGTCGGCATTTTTCCAATAAAACCTACCTCCCAGGAGCAGCTGGGAGACAGCCTTGGTCATTTGGAACAGAACCCAGGCGCCCGCTGTGTTTTCTCCCAACCTGAGTGCTTACGCTTCAGGACTTGAGGTATGGACATTTCAGAGCTGTGTGCTTGCAAGGATAGAACCCTTCCAGGGTAGAGATTATTTTTTTCTTCCGGTTTTATTTGTATATTTCCAGGACAGACACAAACTAATGAAGTGTCCCTTTAAACCCTATTTGTGGCACCAACCCGGCACATGCTTAATGCGTTGGGTGGAGGTGGAGGTGGGGCGGGCACAGCTTCTTTAGGGCAAGCAAGGTATTGTCCAGCGGTGTGGGGACTGCAGGGGGCAGAGCCCCGGGAGGATCCGGGTGCCCCGTGGTATGGCACGCGCCACAGGTAGTTTAGAGGAGGAAGGAGGAGCTGGTGACACCTCCGCGCCGGTCGGGCAGACCCACAGGGTTGTGCTCCTGGAGGTCCCCTCTATCTCTTGTCATCCGTTCCTCCCACCCCTCACTCCCGTCACACTCGTGCCTCTTCAACTACGTGAATGACAGCCCAACTCGAACTGCGCGCCTGCAGTTCGGAGGGTGGACGCGCGGCCAGCGGACCCGCAGCTATGTGACCCCAGGGAGGGCGGCGCACGAGGCGCCGGGACGGCGGGGTCGTGGCGGGGGCCGCCCGCACCTAGGCGGCAGGTGCGCAGGGGACCGCGCAGGGCACCCGAGCCGCCGGCTGCTCGGCCGTGACAGGGGGCACCGCCGGGAGGCCATTTCGTCGCTGCGCCTTTGGCGGAGCCGGGACGGCCCGAGCCCGCTGCGCGAATCGGACGGGCTGGAGGAGCGGAGGGGAAGAGCGGCCAGCGGTTCGCTCGCGGGCGTGCGGCCGGAGCCCCAGTCCCGAGTAAGGCTGCGCGCCGGGTCTCGGGGAGGCGGGGACTCGGGCCCTGCACCGCGCCGCCCGCGCAGGTCGCCGCGGGGAGGTCGCCAGCGTCCGGGGAGCCGCGCCGCGCCTCCAGGCGCCAGAGGACGGTTGACAGGTCAGGGGAGTCGAGCCCGCCCGGTTCCCGGCGTGGCACGGGACCCCGCGGCGGAGGGGGCGGAGCGGGGAGGAGACTGCGGCTCGGCCGAGCACGGCGCAGCCTCGGGCGGGCGGGCGGCCGGCGTGACGCGGCGGGATTAACTTTGCATGGCTAATGCGAACACCACGGCGGAGGCCACCGGCTGCTCGGCCGCAGCTCGCCCGCACGCCGCCTCGGGGCGCCACCGCCAGGCTCCAGCGCTCCGGTAACGTGGCGCGGCGGGGGCGCGGGGTGGGCGGGGGGCTACGGGGTCCTGCGGGCCGAGCGCGAGTGGCCCGAGGCGCGCGCGGTCCCCGCCGCGGGCCTCTGCGTCCGGTTCCTCTAGGGCTCGGGCACCCCGGGAGCAGGGAGCTGAAGCCCGAACCCAGCCAGGGGCAGGCTCCTTGTGAAATGGAGTTTGGCATCTTGGGCGCTGAACCCAGTGGAAGTTTCCGTGAGGAGGAAGTTGTAGGGCACGAAGGATCCGAGGAGGCTGACAGGCGCGGAGGTGGGCGGTTTAAAGGGACTGTGGGTCTTCTGTCCCCTTCCTCTTTGCTCCTGCCCCGGAACTCTAGGGTTTGGAAAGCAGAAAGCTCCCGAAGGTTAGCGTGCGCTGACCGGAGCCTGGAGATTGTGCCCCTCACCGCCTCCGCGGGCTCACTCCAGAGTCGTTCTTCTGCTTCGCTTCTCGCTTCTCTTGACGCAGCATCTTTTGGGGTCGCGACGGTTGGTGCTGATCCTGGTGGTGTCAGCTGTGCGCCCCACGATCGGGGAAGACGTCTTTGGAGAGTTTCTATTGCTAGGGTCAGTTGTCATTTTGGAGGAAGATTTCTTGTGACCACAGTGGGATTATTATGGAGCTAATTCTTAAAGCCTTCTGGTTTCTTTTTAAGAGGGAGGGAGCTGGGTGTGTGTATGTGAACTATTTTTGTTTTTGTTTTAATTAAAGGCTAAATGAATGATTTGCCCCAAATGGGAAAATTTTTAAAGTGAGTCACAAAAAGTAAGGAGTACCTGGGCAGCCAAGTTCAAGTTCCCATCCTGCCTTTTCCAAGCCCATGGAGAAATCAAAGGCTACCTTGAGTCAGAAAATAACATTGAATGAACTCCCCTTCTGCCAGTGTGGTTGGTCCGAGGTACTAGTGATCGGTTTTAAAGATCTGTTTGAAACTGAACGAACCAAGCATTTCTTGTTCAATGCATGAATAGGAGAACACAGCAGTTTTGTTAAGGATGAATGTATTAAGTACCATAGACCCGTTGGGCAGTTTCTTTATATGATTTGGCTCTGGTTTAGAGTGTTTATAGATATTGTAATGAAATATTGCCGCACTGTATTGGGAAGGAATAAAAATTTCTTTTTGGTTAAAAAAAGAAAAAAGAAATCTTCCATGATTCATTGTGAATATTCTGGATGACTGATCTCCCTAATTCACTTCTGCTTGTTATTCTCATTCTGAAAGAAGTCGTGCATTGGGAACCATTAATGAGAAAGGTGTTTGAGTGGGAAGTATTTTGAACAGAGTTAGTCTTTAGAGTGTTTTCATGCTTATTGGTTGTGCTTTAGTTGACCCTAGCAGAATTTCAGTAAAAGGTGCTTTGCTTGGGCCATTTTTATGTGAAGAGATTGGTGAAGAGCAATTTATTGCTTGCTCATATTAATAGATACTATTAGGATCCTATTTTTAAATGAATTCCAGAGGTTTATTATATACTGGAAATGGAAAATCTGCTTTGTGAGTAAAAGCAAATTATACTGAATATAGCTTCAGAATTATTCCTGTTTTTTAATGAAACAATTCATGTTACATTACAATGCGAAAGCATAATCTCATTGACATTGGGGTATTGCTATATAAAGTAACTGGCACAAAAAGAGGACTAGATACTCCACCTCTCCCCTTCCAGCTTCTTTGTGGCCAGCTCTGTGTAACAAGAGATGAGCTGCAGCTCCCCTGTGATCCAGCACCTCTGAGAGAGGGAGACTGGTTAAGCTCTCCCAGGAAGAGAAACCAGGGCCCTCTCCTTCCCCACCTATGTAGATGCTGGAAGGATGCTAGGGGCCCGGCCACCAGTGAGTGTCTGGGGTTCCTCTGTAATCAGCTCAACTTAATTCATGGACATCAGAGTAGAGGTGATTGGTTTCTTTGGCCTCTTCCTCTAGTGTGAGTTACATATCACCTTCTTAGGCAGCCTTTCCTTGACCACTTGAAGAAAGTTAGTCCTTCATTCTTACTCAAAGATCCCTCTGCTTTTTGTTCTGTTTTTTTTCCCCTCAGCAATGGCTATGATCAGAACTGTTCTTTTGATCTGATACGTGTCCATTTTCTGTTTGAAACTGAATTCTGAAAATTCTAGATGACAAGGCGGAGTCTAGAGGACAGTAGTGTTGACTGCTTCATTCACCCTTGTTCTCTCAGCATCTGGAAAAATACCTAGCACAGTAGGCACTGGGTAAATTTTAATTGGACAAATTGAAGATTGTGCCCAAACATTCTCTTCCCCCAAATGCCTGAGTTCTTCAACCATTGCCATATTGGATATGCCAAAATCTGATGAGGTATGAACACACACATACAGAGAGACACACACACACAGAGACACAGACATAAACACACACACACAAACGCACACACACACACACACACGCATGACTCAATCCTTGCATCTGTCTCACTGCATAAGACAATAGCTGTTCTGCCTTTCTATATAGTTAATTCTCCAAGTTCCTCCTGCACGCCTTTGCCATGCTGTGCAGAAATCCTCAAGAGTGCTTTTGCCTTGCGCATTCCCCTTGATTCCTGAATATACTGACTTTTAGTTATCAGAGTTTCAGCAGAACCTTACTCATTTCAGAGGCATTGTCAGGGCTGAGAGTGAAACTCCAGACCCTGGACATCACAGGTGAATGAGAGGACCTCTCACACTTTCAGGTCTTGGCAAGGCCTCCGAGGTGACCAACTGCTGACAGTGGTAGTGTGTAGGCTACAAAAATGGTGTCTGGCGAAGGAGAAATCAGGTTTTCTGGGTCTAACACAACCCAGAAAATATCTTGGTGATAGATTTTGAAATAACTCTCTCATTACTCTGTGCTGTTAGCCAACCAGCCTTTGCCTGTGGCACCCCTTTCATTTCATTTCATAAACAAATTCTGATCCAAGAGATTGTGAGGAATATTCAGCTCTCTGAATTTTTGAGTGACCAGAGTTTGGTGCCTAAATGGTATTCAAATTCATGGCAATTTTTGCCAGTTCAGAACACAAGGAAATTGCCATTGATAATCATGATAATTTTTTATAGAGAAACAAGTTTTAGAAATGTGTAATAATACATAGTAAATGTATTATTATCTGAGTAATAATACATAGTAAAAGCATGCTCTTTGTTTCTACATAATAAAAACTTGCTTCAAAACAAGGCTGAAAAGGTGGCTTAGCAGTTAAGAGAGTGCTTGCTGTTCTCAGAGAGGACCTGAGTTTAGTTGCCAGCACCCATGCTCCGCAACTCATAACTGCCTGTAACTCTATCTCTAGAGGATCTGAAGGCCTCTTCTGGACTCATTGGGCACCTGACTTGGATACACACACCCTCACACACACATATATGTATTGTGTAAATATATATAATTAAAATAACTCTTTAATTAGAAAACCCTACAAAATAATATTAGTATTGTTAATCGTTGGGGGAAGGGGAAGAGAAGATCAGTGTTCTGGGGAATTAGGAAGATAATTACACCAAAATCCAAAGGGCTTACTGCTGTAGCATATTTAATTTAATGCCAAGTTTTGGGGCAATCAGTTTAACAGAAAGAAATGGGGGTGGGGAGGTCTCTCTAGAATTGGTACTCAGGAGAATGGATCAGATGCCATTTCCAGGCTGTTACCATAGGGCCTGACAAAGTCACAGGGAATGAAATAGATCTCTGTATGTGGTCGTGCCTTTGACAAATTCTCAAGAGGAGAAAATTGCAGAGGGGTTAATGAGGAAAAGAATCCTAATTTACATTTCTCTGTGGGGCTCATCTCCAGTGGCCCAGTGGTCCAGGTGCTAGCATAAGCCTCAGTACTGGAGGAGAGCTCAGAAAATGAGAATAAATGGACAGCATGTTCACTGAGCTGACTGTCTCCAATGTCCAGTGTGTTGGCTTTTGTCTGAAGCAACTAGAGAGGATAGGGCAGCTGGGTATGTGACAATGACCCTAGAGCCCTAGACTTCCTGAGCAGGGACCCCTCATGCTTCTTGCTCTGATCTTTGTAGCTCTGTCTTTCAGGGTTGACAGGTTCCTTTTCTGTCCTACCTCCACATTGTGAGGAGAGCCTGTGTGTGGGTTTGCCCATCCCTGACACCAGGCACCTTGGCACGTGAGTACTGTTGTTGGAAGCAGATCGGTTGGAAGCAGTGCTTCTCCTTCCCTGCTGTGTCAGTTTGAGTGCCATCATTCAACATGGCCAAAAATGAATGTCTGGATTACATCAGGAGCCAGAGCATGTGAATGTTTCTGTGGTTAGGACTTGAGCTTGTGTCAAAGCTGGATAAGCAATGCCAGGCAAGTTAGCCTCTTGTTTGTTTGAAAGTCATTTTCATGTCTTCATTTGATTTCTCAGTCTGCAGAAATTTGTATATCTACCATTTACCTGGTTCTGTTACATGATTTGAAGTTCAGTCTGTAGCCAATGACAGGTGCATACATTAAGCCCCGTGATGCTGCAGTGTCCTCCACTGAGGAAATAGACATGCCTGTTGGAGTTTCTTCAAAGACCCGTTGGCTGCAGGTAGGGGTGGATGAAGTCACTTTATCTCCAAGAGCTGCTTGTGGTGTGGTGTGAACCCCTCCAGGATGCACCTACTGAAGCTAAGGGCTGAGTGTCCTCAGGCCAGTGAGTTTCTGACAGAGCACTCTCACTTTCCACATTAAGTTCTAGAACTTTCTAGTGTATTTTGGAACTTGAGCAGATACCACATCCAAAACAGAGTCACAATCACATGCTTCCATGCCCTTCTCTTAGAGATCTAGCCAGCTGACAGTCGGAGTAATGATTGGACCAGTGCTCATGTTCTTGGGAGTCTAGTGCCCCTAACCCAGGGGCCCCTGGAGACACTGTGTGCTGGCAGTTCTTGGTCAATGATAAGCCAATATCTGTGATGACCTCTGCTACTGTTTCTAAATTGAAAGTTCAGAGGGCCTGGATTTGAACCAAAAAGGGCTGACAAACCATGTCTAGG